AGAGAGAGTCGTACTGTGTACCCCTGATGTAGAACTCACTATGTAGACCAGGCTAGCCTTGGATTCATAGAGATTAGCCTGTCTCTGAGGATCAGGTGCTAGGGCAAAATTATGTGCCACCACTCTCCGCTTGTCTTCAAAATCCTGCGGCATGGTGATACATGCTTGCAACACAAACACTTAGGAAGCAGAGAAAAGATGATGGAAGGTTCAAGGCCAGCCTCAGCTACATGGTAAGACCTCGTATAAGCAAATAAGTGAGTGAATAGAAGCAGGATAAATGAAATATGAACCAATGATTGTAATTATAATACGCATAATAGTGTGTTCTGTGCCACGCATTGCCGGGTTTTAAGTCTGCATTGTATTGTCGCACATGGACCTAACTGGATTCTGCTGGCCGTCTATAGTGTATTTATCCTAGTGCCTAAGAATTATATCATATCCAAACTGAATGTCTAAATTATTTGTTTGCCCATCCCCCTCACTGCAAAATATTATAAGTGAAGATTACAGAGGACAGTTATAATTATTGTATCTCGTTTTCTTGTATTTCTCTATTTTATTAGGTATTTCCACCTCCTCATGGAGCCAACTTGGGATAGCTACTCTTTACCCAAGAGCTATTTTGTCCCACGCCAGGGGCATCCTGCAGTATCAACTATCATAATTGGGATAGAGGTGGTTCTAGCAACCTCTGAGTAGGGAACAAAGATGATGTTAAATATTATACAATGATCCTAAAACCCAATAAATCAAAAAACATATTCAACCGACAATGCTACTACTGCAGAGGTTGAGAAGCTGACGTGGAGAAAGGCTAATTCCACCTTTATCTAGCTCAAGTTCCCATGAAAACTCACAAACCGAACTCCTTGCAAAAGTAACAGATTAATGGTGAACACGTGATCACTAGGATCAATGAACCCAAACAAGAGATAAACTAAGGATTCTGGGAGAGAGAGTCTCTTGTCAACTTTTGAGGGGTTTTGTAACTAGCTCCTCATGGCTGTTTCTACCTAACATAGACTATCAGGAAAGAGTTCTACTCTCTGTTGGAGAAAAAAAATTAAAATACAAAAAAGCACAGAAAGCAGCAGAAATGCCAGGTATGAGGATGTGTAGAGACGTGAGCCCTGAGTAGGGGTGGGATGGAGAAGTGAAAAGAAATCAGAGTCAATAAGTTTTCCAAGAAGTCCACCCAATTTAGTAACATGGGATTATTGGATTAGCTGAAAGAGGAGCAGAAAACTAGCTGAGGAAATAGTGGCTAAGGTTTTCTACATTTGAGAAACTGTAAACACAAAATACAGTAATTTCAATAAACACATGGGGGAGAAAGACTATCATTTATATAGAAAGACTATATAAAAGTAATTGAGGTCAGTGGTAAAAATCTGTGAAGAATTTCTCCTTAAAACTGTCCACAGGCAGCACTGGGCTGAGCTCCCAAAGTCCAGTCGAAGAGTGGGAGGAGTGAGAATATGAGCAAAGAGGTCAAGACCATGATGGGGACACCCACTGAAACAGTCTACCTGAGCTAATGGGAGCTCACCAACTCCAGCCGGACAGGGAAGGAACCAGCATAGGACCAAGCCAGACCCTCTGAATGTGGGTAATAGTTGTATTGTTTGGGGCAGACTGCAGGGCCACTGGCAGTGGCACAAGGATTTATCCCTACTACATGTACTGGCTTTTTTGGAAACCATTCTCTTTGAATGGATACCTTGCTCAGCCTAGATATAGTAGGGAGGGCCTTGGACCTTCCCCAAAGCAAACTTACCCTCTCTCAGGAGTGGATGGGGGGTGCAGTGGAGGGGAAGGTGGAGAAAATTGGAGGAGGGGAGGGAGTGGGAACTGGGATTGGTGTGTAAAATGAAAAAAGATAGTTTGTTTTCTTTTTTAGAAAAATAAAAAAAGAACCACAGGCTTTGCAAGCACTGATTTAAAAGGTTTGTCTTTCTCCTCAGAGTCAGCGCCGCTGTGAGAAGAGTCCCAGTTCTCTTGCAGGGAACTCAGGGCTAGCTTGGATTAGTGAATAGATCTCATTGTCCAGCTAAAGCATTATGCATCGCAATCACATGGCCAGCCAGACCAAGTTGGAAATGCAGCCAAACTTGTGACCCTGATTTACTTAACTCTTCCGCTGCAGCTGCAAATCCTATGTTGCCCTACTGTGTGCTGAGTTGATCCCATCCCACTCATCCCTTGGAGACACTCAAAGCCACTATTATTCTTAGGAGAAGGATGGTGACACCTTCCTTTTTATTAATTTCTTCTAATCGTCGGATGTCCATCATGTCCAGAGTCTCCTCTCGGGCACTTATTCCTCTGCTTCATAAGATGCAACTCTTTGTGTTCCAAGAGCACAGAGGCTTATGAGAATCAAGTGAAGAGAACTAGAAATTTTCACCGGTCCACTGAGCACCATGGCCACTCCCAAGCCTTCCTACCTGTGAGGACACCCTCAGCCCTTCCCCTACTCTAGATTATATTTGAAGGCTTCAGTTCTTCCATTTCAGTTACCCGGCATCTGTTGCCCAGCCATGCTTCATACAAAGATTTGAACTCCATGATACCCTGTGCCATCTCAAGAGGGCCTCGCCTTGAATAAATACCACCCTGAATTTGAGCTCATCTCAAATCCTTAGTTGCCTGTGTGGAGCCTAGAACCCAGTGTCCTCCTGGTATGGTCTCTTGGAAAGCCATGCTGTCCTTTGCCTTCAACAGACTTCACTTCAGCCTGACGATGGTTCTCAACCTCCCTTACGCTGTGACCCTTTACTGCAGTTTTTCATGTTGTGGCGACCCCCAAATACAAAATTATTTCATTGGTATTTCATAACTGTAATGCTGCTACTGTTATGCATTGCAGTGTAAATAGCTGACGTGCACAATATTTAATATGCAACCCACAAAGAGGTTGCAAGCCCCAGGTTGAGAACCGCTGGAACAGGTTTCCCAAGTTACCGCCCAAGGAACAACTGTAGAAAAATGCCTTTCCTTTCTTATTAGAAAGGCCCAGCTCTCATTGGGCAATTGTTCTCTCTTTCTCCAGAACTCTGCACAAGGAAGAGGCCCTCTTCATGAAAAAAACAATCGGCTCTCCTAATCTGGAGCCACCAGAGTAATCCCACTCACTAAGGATGGTTTTCTAATCAGGCAGGCTTGTGCATGCCTGTAGCCTCAGCAGAAGGACTGCAAGTCTGACACCAGTCAGGCCGAATAATAAGACCTTGGCGCAAACCAAAACAAGGAGACAGCAGGACAGGAGTTGACTTCCTAGCAGCTACACTGGGCAGTTCCCAGCGACCGTAAATCCAGAACATCAGAGGACCTCTCTGGCCCCTTCCGACATTTCACTCTAGAGCACAAGCCCACACAGACATACTCAGATTCACATACTTCAGAACAACAAAAGAACACCCTTTCCAAAGAAAATGAAGATGATTTTCTCTTTCTAAAGATATGTATATAAACACACTTACTAATACAATGTGTTTTGGGTTTAGTTTGAGAGACTCTTGTAGGTAATTTAAGGTTGGTTTGTTGGTTGGACGGACGGATGGATGGATGGATGGATGGATGGATGGCAGAGACAGGATCTTGATATGCAGCCCAGTCTGGTCTCAAATTTATGATCCTCCTGCCTCAGTTACTGGGATTGCAGGTATGTACCACCAGCTGTGGCCTTAACACACGTCTTTCAATTTCACTTCAGAACTAGAAGTTCACTGTCACACCCATCAAAATGTGTAAAAAACGTGGGTGTTCCCTTTCTCCTAACTTCCAGGGAGACCAGACAACTTGGTTTCAGTTTGGTCATGGAGCTGCCGGTGTAACTGCTTTGAGATTTAATCTGAGCTGTTGGGGACAAGTGCAGGAGCTTAGTCACAAAGGCCTTCTGTGGTTCTCAACAATCTGTTCCGTGTAAACAGTGTATTTTCAAAGTCCAGGGGTGTCCAGATAAAAGTGGCTTGGAGTTTTAGTAAACATTTGCTTTGATGGCAGAAATAATGACAGTTCTCAGCATGACCTCTGACCTTAACCCTTTCTGTCTCAGGATTCTCCCTGCGAAGCCCCAGTTCTCCTTCTGGGCTCCCTGTGCTAATCACGTTATACCAGAAGCAAAGTTCTTCCCACAACTTCAGATGAAGCTAAACTGAGCTTTCTCGGAAAAGTCAAGACACCTGCGGACATTCCCTCCGCCTACTCCTTTTCGTTGTACACCTTTCTTCTCTAGGCCTGGATAATTACTTCTATTTTTTTTTTTTTTTTTTTATCTCTCAGGGCCAATCAACCCAAAATTGAAAACTCCATCTGTATGAAGCCCTGGAGGCAAAGGTTCAGAAAGTATGGAACGAATGCTTGACACGATGTGGGAAAAGAGGGAATATATGCGAGCTACTGAATGCAGAGGGTGAACAAGGGCAGCATGACAGGTGGGAGGAAAGAACTCATAAGCAGAACGGAAGCGTCCAGACTGAGCCTAATAAACTCTTGATGCATCGTAGGCCTTTGGATTCAGTAGTTCTAATGATTCAGATGCCTGTAGTCAAGGAGGTGATAAATACTCGTATTTCTAGGTAGGAGTTAAAACCATCCACAGTCCTGCCCACGTAATAGCCTCCCAGTTCCAGTTTGGAAAGCTCTTCAGCAAGGTTTACATTGTGTTTTTCCTTTTAACGTGGTGCTCTATAAACCTAGAAGCTAAGCACCACCGCCTTTACATGAAGCCTTCCTGTGCATGTGATTCTCCCTTTTATTACATTTTGTATATTTATTTTGTTTTGTTTTTTTTTTTCGAGACAGGGTTTCTCTGTAGCTTTGGAGCCTGTCCTGGCACTAGCTCTTGTAGACCAGGCTGGCCTCGAACTCACAGAGATCCGCCTGCCTCTGCCTCCCGAGTGCTGGGATTAAAGGCGTGCGCCACCACCGCCCGGCTTGTATATTTATTTCGTGTATATGCACATGTGTACATGTACATGTGTGTAGCTCACCTGCCATGGATTGAGTGCGGAGCTCAGAAGACAACTCACAGGAATTGGTTCTCTCCTTCCACGGCGTGGATCCTGGAGCTCACACTCAGGTAATCGTGTTTGGAGGGAAGAATCTTTACCTGCAAAACCAATTAATGAGTGATATTTGATGGTAACCTCTACTGAATCTTTTCTAATTAGCTGTTGCCACTAAGCTCAACAATCTTCAGGAATTTCTAAAAGGAAGAGTATTCTAATAAACAGCTTTTATTAGAATGTTATACCTATGGCCTCCCTCACCCTCGAGTCAGTGATCAAATCCTCACCCTCCGTCACCGTCCCCCACCCTCCCTCGCCCTCCCGCACCCTCCCACACCTTCCACTGGGGAAATTTAAAGGATTTCCTAAGTAGGAAATTTGGTTGCATTCACTGAGCACTGGCTGCTTGCGATGCCGGTCCCAAGGGCTTGGAATGAATGACTCCAGTGTCCTCAGCAGGTCTGAGGTCTATTACCATTTGCTCTTTATGTTACATAATTTTCCCTTTCAGAGGAAGCAGCAGAAAGCACCGCCCAAAGCATGCCATGTTTTAGTTACTGATTGCTGTAGAATGAAGCAAATTTTTATAAAACAGACATAAGAAAAATTCTTTTACCTCCCTCTTCACCATCTCTGTCAGGAAGATCAGTAATTTTTTTTTTTTATTTCAGTTTTGGTTTAGGTCTGTTCTTCCAAAGGCTGAGGACAACTCTAGGCTTCATCAACCCAGAAAAAGGACAGAAGGATATTCACAGCAGACCTGGCTAACTGGTCTTTCTCTTCCTTTGCTCACCCACAAAGGATTCCTTCCTGTAGCTTGAGCCACCATGGAAGGCCAAGGTGCTTTTCCTTTGTTTTCTCATTTATCTACAAGACCATGGTCTTCTCAGAGATTGTGTAAGAGCTCAGGCTCTAACCACCCCCTCCCAGCTGCCAAATAACCCTACGTGAGCACACAGCGTGCATGTTAATATTGCCTGTTTTACTCATCCATCACTTCTTATTCACGGAGCCTCAGTTGGCAAATCGAAGAACAGTACAGGGAAAACTTGAAGGTCAGTAGTTGACGGAGTAGGAAACCAAGGGCAACAGCCAATAGCGGTGTGTGCACCAAGGGCAACAGCCAATGCGGTGTGCGCACCAGCTACAGAGAGGAAATAAATAGGAATTTTGTGGTGTGGAGGGTTTTGCGCTCACAGATACTTAGGGGAACCAGGAGTGTGATCATTATTTTTCAAGGGAAGGGACGCTATACCTATTATCCATCCAGAAGGGTAGGAGCAGATGGACGCGCATTCTAGCCTGGTGACCCTTGTGCTATCTGTGTGACCCTCCCGCAGACCGTTGTTGTTCTCAGCCAGTCAATCTTTATAGAAAGTGTCACACATACTTAAAACTATTTCAGTGTAATCACACCCAGTCTGTCTTCACTGTTCCTCAAAGAGATTTCTGTGTGCTTTATTGTGCACAGAAGATTGGGTTAATTATTCACCAGAATAAGCTTTCACGAAATTGTGCTATACTTAAATACACCTAAAATAAACTATTTGGCGCCAGGTTTAAACCAACACCGGCTACTTAGTCATGTTGAACTGAACTACCTCCTTGCTTCCCATAGACCATTGCTCTGCTGGCCATGGAGGTCGAAGAGACCCCTGAAGCCAGGAAGGAAACCGGCTCACTGGTTTAATGATGAGGATCCCTCCCTGCAAAGACACAGTGAACAGGGAGACCTGGAGCCTTGCACCTCCTCCTGCTAGGCTTTTCTCCTCCTGCTTCTTCCCACCTATCTGTGCCCACGGCATTGGCTCCCTGCCTTCTTCCCTCTCCTGCAGGCCCAGCCAAGTCTTTTTTGGCTCTTTTTCAACTTTCAGTAGCTAAATGAGTTAATTCATAAGAGAGCCAAAAGGAAGCTGTGTTTTAGCATTTAATCCAAAATCCTTTCTCCCATTCAATTTTTCCATTATTAAGACTTACACTTTAAACCACCAATAAATAACTATTTTTTAAGGACACACACGTTTGTTGGATAGGGAAGGGAGGGTGGACCTGGGAGGAGGTGGGGGAAGGCTGAATATGATCAAAAAATATCATGAGAGGGTCTCAAAGAACTAGTAAAAATGAAGAGGAAAAATAAAACAAAATAAACACAATTTAATTTTTTTTTTTTACAAAAACCCTCTCGAGCATAAAAAGAAAATCACAATTTTTTTAAAGTATCGTTTCCACAATCTGGAGGAATAGTCTTCCAGGCTTAAGGCATCAACCTGCTGACTCCAGTTACTGGCGAAGAAGTCCCGGAAGAGAAGCTGCAGCTGCGGTTTTGAAATAGTTCCGAGTACAGAGTGATCTCTTTCTAGTCAGGCCCCTGATTGTGGAGAAGAAGATCATCTCCCTTTAGTACTCCAACAAAAGCTAGGCATTAATTCACTGACCCTTGACCTCTGGGCAGTCACTGTGTGTCCTTGGGTCCTTAGAGACCAGCTGCATACCCTTATTAAACAATAAGTGATACGTCAGTAGGGAAGCGACTGATGCATTGTTTATCAGCTCTCCCTGCAGGGGCACTGTTTACAGCACACACTTAAAAGGCACCCTTTTCAAACAGCAACACAAGTTTCTGGAAACAAAGGCAAATGGGAACAGCCTGTTCAGAGCACAGCTTCCTGATCCATTTAACAATTTTTTTTAAAGATGTACTGACCTTGAATTCATTATCCTCCTGCCTCCTCACAAGTGTGCACCACAATAAATCCAGGACATCAGAGGACCACTTTGGCCCCTTCCTACATTTCACTCTAGAGCACAAGCCCACACAGACATACTCAGATTCACATACTTCAGAACAACAACAAAAGAACACCCTTTCCAAAGAAAATGAAGATGATTTTCTCTTTCTAAAGATACATATATAAACACGCTTACTAATGCACTTACTTTGCACTCCTCATTAGCTCTGCCTGTGAAAGGCACGAGCAAGAGGTCGAAAGAGAAGAGTGGAAGAAATCAGGTCCGGAGCTGCAGGGCTTGGAGGTGTGCCCAGGAGTGGCCACATTCCTTTGCTGAAGGCCACCAAGACATCAAGCACTGCTCCTTTGGGTGCAACTTGCCCTCCCCCTCTGACTGGAGATGGTACCCTTCCCTTTCCCTTCAGGCCTAGCACTAAAGCCGTTCTCCTCTGTAGCCTCTTCCGGGTGCCATGTCATCCTTTGTCATTTGTTGCCTATTTACATTATGCCCTTCTTCTTTTTTTTATTTATTTATTTATTTATTTAAGATTTCTGTCTCTTCCCCGCCACCACCTCCCATTTCCCTCCCCCTCCCCCGATCAAGTCCCCCTCCCTAGTCAGCCCAAAGAGCAATCAGGGTTCCCTGCCCTGTGGGAAGTCCAAGGACCACCCACCTCCATCCAGGTCTAGAAAGGTGAGCATCCAAAGTGCTTAGGCTCTCACAAAGCCAGTACGTGCAGTAGGATCAAAAACCCATTGCCATTGTTCTTGAGTTCTCAGTAGTCCTCATTGTCCGCTATGTTCAGCGAGTCCGGTTTTATCCCAGGCTTTTCCAGATCCAGGCCAGCTGGCCTTGGTGAGTTCCCAATAGAACATCCCCTTTGTCTCAGTGTGTGGGCGCACCCCTCACTGTCCTGAGTTCCTTGCTCGTGCTCTCTCTCCTTCTGCTCCTGATTTGGACCTTGAGATTTCTGTCCGGTGCTCCAATGTGGGTCTCTGTCTCTGTCTCCTTTCATCGCCTGATGAAGGTCAAGACAACTTTAAGATACCATCTTACACCTGTCAGAATGGCTAAAATAAAAAACACCAATGATAGCCTTTGCTGGAGAGGTTGTGGAGAAAGGGGTACACTCACCCATTGCTGGTGGGAATGCAAACTTGTGCAACCACTTTGGAAAGCAGTGTGGCGGTTTCTCAGGAAATTCGGGATTAACCTACCCCTGGATCCAGCAATACCACTCTTGGGAATATACCCAAGAGAGGCCCTATCATACAACAAAAGTATATGCTCAACTATGTTCATAGCAGCATTGTTTGTAATAGCCAGAACCTGGAAACAACCTAGATGCCCTTCAATGGAAGAATGGATGAAGAAAGTATGGAATATATACATATTAGAGTACTACTCAGCAGTAAAAAACAAGGACTTCTTGAATTTTGCATGCAAATGGATAGAAAGAGAAAACACTATCCTGAGTGAGGTAAGCCAGACCCAAAAAGAGGAACATGGGATGTACTCACTCATATTTGGTTTCTAGCCATAAATAAAGGACATTGAGCCTATAATTCGTGATGCTAGAGAAGCTAAATAAAACGGTGAACCCAAAGAAAAACATATAGGCATCCTCCTGAATATACCCTTCTTCTTAATTATTCTCCAGTAAATTCTGCTCTTTCTCCCTTGTGACAGATTCCTCCACATGTTTTTGAGAAAGACCCTAAGCAGTGAGAAGGCACATTACCATTTACGCAAATGTATAGAATTTTCTTCAACCTGATATATAATCTAGGAACTGCCCAATTGATAACTCAAAAATGAGAATGATCCTAAAGTCTTTCCCAAAGTGCGACACTTCAAAAGTGGACTTCAACTTGGGTCCCAGCTCTGCAGTCTTCTAAATTACTGGGGGCTTAAGTGAGAAGTCGGCTACAAGTTGCCTGCCTCAGGATGCTTACTGTTGTCTCAGCAAACAACACTGAAAGCACACACTGATCAAGACCTCACTCAAGACTGGAAGACTCCACGGCTACACCCGAATTCTGTCGCCTCTAGTTCTTTATATATTCTCACACTTACAGACACATAGATTTATAACACAGGTAAATGCACATATACATATACATGTATTGTACGCTCACATGCATATAAGTGTTTCCAAGCAGGTACAACGATACATATTCATTCACAAAAACACGTGTACAGTCATCTTGTAGTATTTAAGGGTGATCGGTTTCCCAACCTTCCACAGACATCATAAGCCATAGATACCCAAAGCCCTTCTGTAAAATACCACTGAATTTGTTTGCAGATTACCCATGCATATCCTGCCAGGCATTTAAAATCATCTCTAGGTCATTTATAAGACCCACGGTGATGTGAATCGCTGTTACACTGTATTGTTTAAGGGATGATGGTAAAAAAAAAAATATGAACATGAGCAGAACATTCGCAGTTTTTTCTAATATTTTTCATCTGTGGTTAGCTGAATGCAGAGATGGGAACTAAAGAAGTCACGGATAGGGATACAGAGGACCAGCTACGTATCACACTGTTGTGAACACACGCACACGTTCACATTTTTCTCCTAAGACAACTCAGGAAAATGAAACGAAGAAGTTTTCCAACTTGTGCTGCTCTCTCTTCTGAAAGCCACACTATTCCTGTGGACGGTCTCCCCTAACCACAGCGCGGACAAGGCCCAGATATGCAAGGCACCAACATATTTTCACTGCAATGTAAACAACATTCCAAACAAAACCGCCACCTCGCCGCAGTCTTCATTACAATCATTTTTAAATAATTTATGAAAAAACAAAATTGTTGTGTTTTATGTACTTCTGCCTTGTCCCTTGGAACTAAATGCGACTGTAGGCATGCATTTCAAGTACTCAAGGCGATTAAAACAAAAAGTGACGATGTTTTCTAAATCTTTACATTTCATTTCATCTGTTGTGCAAACTTGTATGACTCTTAATCTGTCTCTTGAAAACATGAATAAAGAATTACAGTATCCACGTACGCACTGAGAAGAGGCCAGCTCAGAGAAAACTGGGTCAGGACCTCTGCTCACCGAGTCATGCTGGCTTCAGTGAAAAGTAAAAGGCAGAGTCAGAGCCCAAGGACACTGTTCCCAATTCTGTGTCT